CTTCCTTCCGAGGAGTGGTTGGTGGGTTTGAACCGCCAGCCGTCTGGTTAGCAGGCAAGTGTCTTAGCCACTATGCTACCAGAGCTCCCGGCAGTATGGGTAGTTGATGTAAATATCTGAATCTGATTGTTTGGGTCAGAAGGATCCTCAGATCCATTATCCCTGTTTACAGATGTGGACAGAGAGGCCAATATGCCAGATAACACTGGGCTGGCATGAAAACCAAATGTCAAAGACTTCCATTTGTGTTTCTAGCAAGAGACCTGGGAACAGAGTGAAAGGGAGGACATGGGTTCTGGGACATGCTGGCCTTAGGCATGAGGGGTCCAAAAGCAGTCTCTCCTTGGGGACAGTCCATTGTGGATCCTCAGGCCAAGGCAGTAGCTCTGCCTGGCTGTGATCGCCTGCCAGCAGGCAGGAGACACTTTGAAGTCAGTAGTTCAAGGTTATTCTCTGGCCCAGCTCCAGCTGGCAATGCTGACTTCAAGGCAGGAAAAAGGAGACCTGGGAACATAGCACAGAGAGAGGGAGCTGGATTTGGAGGTTGGTGTGACTGGGAAGAGGGAGCTGTCAGATTTCTCTAAATAAAACCCAGTCTCTTCCCCCACCCCTCATTTTTAGAAACTTGATAGACTTGGGTGATTTGTAGAACCAATCAGTATCATCTTCTGAACGAAAATCGGCAAAAATGGAACTGTTTGCCTCCTCAGAGGTTGACCTTATTCAAGCACGTATTGCATGACTAGGAATCTGGAATGTTATAAACATCGGCGGTTGCTATTATTGTGTTCTGGTTGCGCTCCAAGGCTTTCACATACATTATTTCTCCCAAGTGTCCTGTCAGTCCTGTTATTACTATAATCCTCACTTCACACAGAAGAAAACCAACTCGGGTATGCTAACTGACTTCTAGATTTGAATGATCTTTGGGGACAGACAGACGGATTTGAACTCTTGACTCCAGTCACATTCACAGAGAAGGTAAGTGGATCTAAGAGCGAAGTTGAAGAGACAGGAAGTGCTGGTGATCTTAGTCCAAGAAAAAGGAACCCGCTCTTAGTTAATGCGCCGTGGGGTTCAGCCTGCAGGGGTTCTGCACAAATTTGCCTTTAGGTTTAAGTTAACATGTTAGCAACTGACAATGTAGTTTAAATGAGGCATCAAAGAGAGAGGAGCTTAGCCTCGCGAGCAGATCCCGCTTTCTTCCACCTCCGAGCCTGCTCCTGGTCACAAAAGGTCTCAATCGCCTCAGGTTCAAGCCCCGCTGGGCTCCCCTCAACTCCCACGGAAGCGCGGGCTCGTCGCTCTGGCCCACCCCTGCTCCTGCGCTGCCCAAAGAGGTGTCGGGCTCGGCCCTGGCACCGCCTCCTCCCAGGCGAGGCCCAATGCGGTGGCGGCACCTCCTTGGTTCTGCCCGGACTGCCCCAACGAGCCAGGCCCTGCGGCAGCCGGCGACCAAGCAGCGGGGAGTAGCAGTCCCACGTTCGGATCTTGCCCGCCAGCTGTTTGCTCGCCTGCTCGGGATGGCCGGCTACCTGCGGGTCCTACGCTCGCTCTGTAGGGTCTCTGACTCTGGGCGGGCCTGGGCGCCAGCAGCCCTGACAGCTTCGAACTTGCAAGAGCAGCCGCGGCGCCACTGTGAGTGCCGCGCGCAGGGTCCGGGCGGGGCGCTTGCCTGGGCGCAGCGATGTGGTGACCTCCTGGGCGGGAGCTGGGAAGCGCGGGCGGGGGATACACGCGAACCCAGGGCATCTGCGAACCTGGGATGGTGGGGTCAGGCACACAAAGGGCCGGGGTGGGGGGGCAGTCTCTCTTTGCGCTCTCCGCCCCACACTTCCGGGCTGCGCCAGGCGCAGTGTTGGGGGCTTGAAGGACGGTGGCAACTGGTGGCCATGGCGACGCTGGGCCGGCTGTATGCTGGCAGGGACTATGGGCTGCCTTGTGCTCGCTCCCCAGTTGTCCTGGGAAGGGGTTTGGGAGTGTACTAGGCTCAGAGGGTATCCTGTGTCCCTGGAAGGCGACCGGGGAATGGGGGGCTGGAGCACCCCGCCCACTCCCGGGGTCGCTGCGCGGTTCCTACTCAGACAAAGGCGAGGAGGGGGAGGTATTCACTTCCACTTCCTTTTCAGCCAGAAGCGCGCTAATCCCTCCTAGCTGTCAGGCCCACGTCAGCTATTTTTGGAGCCTTTTACGCGACAGCTGGAGTAGCGTCCTTTTTATTTTGCCCTATTGTTGGCCGTCCTCCTTCTCCTGCATCGCCACACTTGAGGCTCCATCCTGGGTTCTCTCCCTGGCCTTTTCTTTCCAGCCAGCCGCTGGTCCTGCAGAGCTCCCTGCCGCGGAGAGACCTAGTAGCCTGAGCAAAATGTCACTTTTCAGAATAGTTCCCACAGCTTCTCTTAGCTCCCTGCTTAGGAGAGAAGACAGTAGTCAGATCACAGTAAACAGAACTTAGCCTGAGCCTCCATTACCAACGCAGGCTGCCCTGAGTGGTTTGTGGGTATCGGCCTCCCGTCATCCTGGCTCCTCAAAGCAAGCGTCAAAAGACTGGGAACAATGTAGGTCCTTTAGCCCTGATGCATGTTGCCACGGAAACCCTATCCTGACCTGGCCAGGAGCTTCTTGGAGTGAGCCAGGGGAGTGAGGAAGAGGAGGTGGGGCTCGTTCAGGCCGGCCTGGCCAGGGAGGTAATTTTTAACCTAGTGTGGGAGCAGCATACTAGAAGCTAGGAGGGAGGGTAGGGAGGAGGGATTTGGGCCTCAGCACACACGTGCCAAGGAGAAAGGGGCATTTCTGCGTTTGTACTTTTAAGATCTGCCTCTAAGGGATCTGTCCTGCAACTCGAAGGTGCCAAGTGCCCCCAGACCCCAAAGATTCCCATATGGCAAAATAGGGTGAAATGAAATACATTCTCCAATAATCTCTTTTTTCCTGCGTGGGTCATAAAAAAAAACAAAACAAAACAGAACAAAAAAAAAAACCAAATTCAACACACACACACACACACACACAGAGCCCCTTTTGGAGCTTGGATTTGATACACATAAAAAGACAGTCTATGGCAGGTCCTTCCAAAAGTCTCCAAGTGGGTCGGTTATTAATGGGGAAAAATGCCTGGTGTTTGAATTGGACATTAGATCATACAGTTGTGATCTCTGCTAGCTTGTTACCTGGCAACACTGCTAGAGACAGAATACTTGTCATTCCCCTTAATGACAAGGAGAGAATATGTTTTTGGCTAAAACAGTTCTGTGTCTCTGCTGCAGAGTGATCCCCACACGTGTCTTTCTAGTTTTGTAACACCCTAGGCCTCCAGCGACTGCTGGTGGTGGTTCTGATAAATGAAGAGCTTGGGGAAGGGCTGGTGACTCTGCTCACCCACTCCATGGGAGGATTACTTTTCTACCACTCCTTTTCTTCACTCCTAGCTGGGAGACTAATTATCTCAGCCTGCCTCTTAACATTTCAGATCTTTTTGGTGGCTTGCCTGCACTCTTAGACTCCAGGGCAGATTATTTAATGACTCTTCAAGGTTTTGCACATTCACCCATAGGGTTCTTATTTGGTCTCCACTGAGCCTTGCTACAACTACATTTGGTCAGATAAAGACCAAAGCTGCCCCACCAGAGCTATTTTGGGTGGCTATATTTAGGACCAGATGGTTTTGAGAAAAGCCTTTATGGAGAGCCCAGAGCCTGCCCCCAAGTCCTCTGTGTGTGGTTGAGGTCTCTTGGGTTGTTTCCATTCAGGGCATGAGGTGCTGGAAACTGCTGCCCGGTTATTGGGAGCCAGAGTCGGTGGCCCTGCCCCAGGGTTAACGCTTCTGCAGCCCTGTTTTAAAAATGCCAGCAGATTGCCAAATATTAATACATTCAAGGTTGTGAGCTTCTCCAGGGCAGGGAGCCCACTGCCTGGAACAGATGCCAGCCTTGTGCATAGGTGACGGTCTCAGCTAATCTGGTGCAGTCCAAAGCCCAAAACTAGACCTCAGTGTGGCAGTGTATCCCAGGAAAGGAGACAGTGTGGTCATTGAAACAGGAGGTGAAGGCTGGACAACCCTTACCACAGGAGGAAATGACTGAAATTGACATTCCTTCATGCCTTCAACAAGTATTTATTGCTCTCCTAGCATGTTCCAGGCACTGTGCTTGGTGCTGGGAATGGAGCCAGGAATAAGGCTGTCAAGGATTTCTGCCTTTCTGGAGCTTAAGTTCTAATGCTGGAGGGGACAGACAATAAACAAGATAGAAGTTAAATATAAGCACTTGGTTACCAACTGAAAAGTTGGTGGTTTGGATCCATCCAGAGGCACCTCAGAAGAAAGGCCTGGTGATCTACTTCTGGAAAATCAGTTTGATTGATTCAAATCAGTTACTTTGAAACACATGGGGTTGCCATGAGTTGGAATCAATGTTACAGCAAGTTTGTTTTTTTTCAGTGTGTTAATGCTATATGTGGTATATTATGTGATCCAGTAAAACCTGTGAGAGCTAGAACCTGTGTAAAGCAGAAAATGATCAGAGAAGGAAAGTTCAAATATTTTACAGTAAGACAAGCAATAGAAAAGTGGTAAGACTATGTACTCTGATAAAGGAGGAAGTCTTGCAAGACTCAGAAAAACAAGGCAATCCCATAGAATTTTGGCTCTCACAGGTTTCACTGTAGATAACAAGGATAAACAAACAACAACAAAAAAAAAATGCCAAACACTGCCATCGAGCTGGTTCTGGATCATAGCAACCACCATTGGGTTTCCAAGGCTATAAATCTTCCTAGAAGCAGACTGCCCAATTTTTCTTCTGTAGAGTGGCTGGTGGGTTTGAACTGCTGACCTTCTGGTTAGCAGCCAAATGCCATAACCACTACATGACTAGAGCTTCTTTGATATCACGGATAAGGAGAATAAATAAGAAAGGAAGGTAGGAGTGAGTGAATAATCTTCAGCAAAATTTATTTTTGAATTATCTTTGGCAAAATTTAATTGTGTGTAATAGTAATGATATTACTTGATAATTTCTGCATTCTATTGGGTCACCTTTCTTTGGAATGGGCAAAAACATGGAACTCTTCTTCTAGTTGGTTGGCCAGGTAGCCTGTTTTCCAAATTCCTTAGCATAAATGAGTGAGCACCTCCAGTGTTGCATCTGTTTGTTGAAACATCTCAGTGGGTGTTCTGTCAATTCCTGGAACACTTTTTTTTTTTTTTTTTTTTTGCCAGTTCTTTCAGTGCAGCTTGGACTTCTTCCTTCAATACCATCAGTTTTTGATTATATGCTACCTCCTGAAATAGTTGAACATCAACCGATTCTTTTTGGTACAGTGACTCTGTATTCCTTTCATCTTCTTTTGATGCTTCCTGTATCGTTCAGTATTTTCCCTGTGCTGTTGTTGTTAGATGCCATTGAGTCAGCTCTGACTCATAGTGACCTTACGTACAACAGAACAAAACATCACCTGGTCTTGCTCCTTCTTCACAATCCTTGCTATAGTTGAGCCCATTTTTGCCACCTGTGTCGATCCATTTCATTGAGGGTCTTCCCCTTTTTTGCTGACCCTCTACTTTACTAAGCATGACATCCTTCTCCAGGGAATGGTCCCTTTTTACAACATGACCAACGTAGGTGAGATGAAGTCTGGCCATTCTTTTTTTTTTTTTTTGTTATTTGGGTGAAGATTTACAGAGCAAATTCACTTTCTATACAGCAGTTCACATATACTTTGTCTCATGTCATTGGCCACAGTTTACCACAATGTAACAGCTCCCCTCTCACTTCCTCCCCATAGTTACCACCTCCCAGTGTCCATCCCTCCATACTCTCCTGCCCCCGGAGCTATCTCCCTGTGCATAAGCAGTCTTTCCTTCTCCCATGATTGTTCTCTCCAGGGCGTGTGTCTACTTGAGGTAAATGTTTAACTCACATGCCTGTACTTTGTTTGGCTGGAAACCACAGGTGTGGGTTCAATTCCAGACCTGAAGGGCAGCTAGGGGCCATAGTCTCAGTGGTTCCACCAGGCTCTATTGGACCAGCAAACCTGGTCCCAACCATCTTTTTTTTTTCCCCCTCCAAATGATTTTGAGTTTTGTACCACATTGTTCTCCCTCTCTATCCAGGATCTCCTACATCCCTTCCAAGTGGATGACAGTGGTAGCCAGGCACCATCTAGTTCTTCTGGTCTCATAATTGTATAGGTTGCAGATTGGCTGGTGTACCAGTCACTAGAACTGATTGTTTCCATTAATTTTAGTTTTCTTCTTTCTTCTTTGCTCTTGATGAGGGGAGACCCATCATTGCATCTAGATGGCAGCTTGCTAGCTTTTAAGATCCCAGTTGCTACTCACCAAAGTAGGAGGTGGAACAATGTTTTGTATAGTATGTTATGCCAATTGAGCTTGATGTCCCCTGCAACTATGGTCCCAAGCCCGCAGGTTCAACTAATCAGTCCCTCTGGGTAGCTGGCTGTGACCAAGCAGTGACTACAACTTTGTTCCTTGTCAGCTTTACTATACATCTGGGGATTCTGATCATTCACATAAACTTATAGGACCATTGTCTGAAGTCTGATCATTGTCTGAATTCTGGCCATTCTTGCTTCTAAGGAGCATTCTGGCTACATGTTTTCCTGGACAGATTTGATCA